AATAATAAATAAACAAAGGAAATAATATAAATTTGAATCAATCAATCAATGTATCATCAATTAATCAATAATTATATCAATCAATCAGTCAAGCAGTTAATCAATCAATCAATCAATTTAAACACAGAAAAAATAATATTAGGTTATTAGACTTGAATTGACATTTAAATAAATCCAAAGTTGCTTATTTTAAATAGTAAACACTGACTACCATTCGTGCTGACGATGCTGGCGTGTAGTCAGCAAAAACGTATTTAAAAAGTAAGCAATTTTAGTTTCATTTAAAATGAACTTCAATTCAAATAACCTACTGAAAACCGATGAAGCCTTCAATCAATAACATTATGATGTTTAACTTTATACATTCCGTTAGTTTGGATCCAATGCAATGCAAATAAGTTGTAGGCCCAAACAATACAAATCTAAACAAAAATTAAAAGATATTGATAATGAAATTGAAACATCAACAGAACAATGCTTCAAATTCTAATCCGAGACAGTTCTATGAATTTGAAACGACATAACAAAATAGGATCAGAGAAAATATTTAATTTTATTTCGGTATATATCTAAAAGAAACATAACATACGGCAGCCTGGGATGAAATAACATTTACAAAAAAATAAATAAAACGTACATCCTTAACGTATGATAAGTTATAGGCCTATAAAATTCCTAGAAATAACAATAATTAAAAATGAACATAACATTAAATTTGTAGAATCGTATAAAAATGCAATCGTGACAATAATGCAATTAATAAAAATTAAGTTATAACCAACATAGAAGCAAATATTTATACAATTTTTTATACCGTTTGGCGTACATTGGCCTATTCTTTAACACTCATTAAAGATTTATTTTAAAGGTTAAACATTAGGCCTTCCATCTCAATACAATGTTTTGTGATTCTTATAATTATAATGTCTTGTGTACCTTAGTGTCAGGCCTATAGCATGAACAGGCGACAGAATCACTTGTGAGATTTTGGTAAGCATTTGGGAACGTAGCATTCATAATCATTACAGTACTATTAACGTAGGGCATCGATTCGTAAGTTTAGAATAGTTAAGTCCATTGGAGTCCGGGTACAAAAACGTGACAGATGTAATTGGTAAATAATGGAGAAAATAATAAATACCGTTATTATCCATGGTCATATGCAGTTAATTTACTGGATTCGGAAAAGAACAGGCAAAAAACCGAGCATTGATCTTTCAACCCGTGGGCCTATAATACCGTTCAGGATAATCACCCTTTTATATACTTTCTCCTTCATTGGAAATGCAACACTTTCTAATCGAATTTACCAGATTGCAATAAATTATGTTTTAACATGGAGAAAAAAAATTAAGCAGATTACAATGCGTGGTGCATATGTTTTTCTTTTCGTGATTGTACTGTATTGTATTCGCATCGCAATATTCTTTTAATTCAAGTAAATAGTTTGCAGATTGTAGCATTGTAATGTGTTGTAAACCGGGTGTGATCAATTACAGATATCATGGAGTCATTACTTGGAGCTATATTTTTTGTAAAATACCAGCCTTATCTATTCACAATAACAATTAATTGTGGTTTCTAAATGAGCTATAAACCACAATGGTTCAGGTAAATGCCCTCTCAATCGCACGGCACACTTACAGGGTTGTGTATTGCTCGATTTGATTACCAATTTGCTTTGATAAATTTAACTGTTCCCTGCTCTACTATCGTCTGAACAGAAGTGAATATGATCAGTTGAATTGTACTACCGGTAAATAAAATGCTTAAGCCTATCTTTAGGTCTATATCATGAAAATTTCGTAATTATTTTAATGTTATAATAAGTAGGCCTATATTTTTACTCATGGTCTGCCACGCATTTCTTCTAAATATTCCCTTCACCATAATAAAGAATACGATACCAGTTAATTTTCTCAAGTTCCTGATTATTAGTATTACGAATGTTTTTAAATAGCTATGGTTCACTTCGTCTTTATTTAAAATACAATGTATTGCAGATGTTCACTTCATTCATAAATAAGCTTGCATGAGAGCAGAGCAATCGCTCTGAAGATGGCAGATGAGGCCTACGGCCGAAAAATATATGTTTCAATGATTTTTTTGAATAATAAAATAAGCTAGGCCTTGCCTACATGGTATTTGAGCTCGTCATATTTTTAAGATGTATTTGCTGTCTGCTGTTACACAAATTATTATGAACATATTAGGCCTATTATTATGAATATTATTATCATCATTATTATTAATATTATTATGATCATTTTTATCATTTGAGCACGTACTATCGTCCGTACACTACACTCTTCTTTATCCTTATGCTACTAACATTAATCTATAACATCGTTAACGGTTCTTACTGAATTTCTACGAATTAACTAGAACTAGCCAGTATTCTTCATTTTATTATTTGTTTATTGAACTTCTACGAACGTTAAGATATGTTCACTTCCTTTAATTTTCGAGAGTACTTAATAAAGTGCGATTTTAATCCTGATTCAGATAACATTAGTCTAGGTGTCTCACATCAAGCAACCATGCACTGTGCATAAGTGCTCCGGACCGTCGTGGCACGTCCGCATAATTTTGAATGCGTCAAAAATACTTGAAAACTATAACTTTATTATAAGATTGGGAGACATAAAACCTCCTTCATTATCAATCGAGCACAACATGTTGCAGTTTAGAACACGTGACAAAATCATTAAATAAAGCACCAATCCAGCAGCGCAAAAGGCCTAGGTCTATTTACTATAACTATTGGAGTCGTACGATCATGAAGATAAAAGGAGTTTAATAATCACATGTACAATTTTGTAATCAACATTATTATACGCGACCATTTTTTGTCATCAGTATTTACAGTCGTATTAACTGCTACAGTTCAGAAATCGTATTTTATAAATGTTATTAATGCATTACCAATTTTACAGTCAACATTATTATACGTGACCATTTTTTGTCATCAGTATTTACATAGTCGTATTATTGCTTATAAATCATTGCTACAGTTCGGAAATCGCAAGTTATAAATGTTAATGAATTCATGACCAGTGTAAATTTGATCGTGATTGGTATCCATGGAGGAATAATTAAACTTATTTCTCCAAAGGGTATACTGCATTCTTTATCTCATCCTACACCGACGAGGTTTCTGTATGCTTGGTATTTTTTATCGTCATCCTAAGCTGACGACGTTCCTACCTGTTTTAGTATATACATTACAGGGGCGGAAATGAAATGTCCAAAATGTCCAGAAATGTCCAAAAAGGGGGGGGGGCGGAAGGGGGCCGAAAGTTGGGCCGATTGAGACAACACTGTCGTAGGGGGTCCGGGGCATGCCCCCGCGAAATTTTTGTCTAGACGCCCGAACATAACATTTGAGGCATTCTGGGCTATCTTTTTTTTATTTTTCTCTCTTTTTTTTCTTTTTTCTTCTAATTTTTCTACCTCCCAAAAAATACAGTACTCAAATGCAATAACATGATGTTATAAATCGTATCATAGTTCATCATGAAAAAGAGGTCTCTGGTGAGAACGAATCCGCAATCTTTCGATATCTTGGCGATCGTCATACCGTTTAGACCACAGAGGCCCGTACATGTGGACATCAGTTGTGCGTTGCATATACTCTCGCCACTACTGAGGAAGATGTTGCCCGAAAGCTTTATCAATATGTCAGGCAGTCAGATTCTCTCTTGCAGTTATACCCTTCAGATGGCATAAAAAAAAAAAACTACAGCTTGACCGATGTCTGTTCATACATGTCGAAAAATTAGATCTCGAACAAGCCTAACTCGGACATTGGACAGAATCAGACGATGAAAGGCTTAGCTAATCATGGAAAATATCTGTTGTAGATTGTTGTAGCTTTAGCACTTGTCAAAAATTAAACTCGGATGAATAACATGATTGATGTTAAGAGACACTAGTTGTCGTCAGCATGAAAATGGTGTTGAAAAGTTATCTCCAATAATGGTACGGCTGTCACTAGCACTTCATAACTAGCAAATCTATATAACCCGATTCACACGTGGTAAAATATTACGCGGGACGCTTGCCAATCATACGCGTGTGCGCATTCACACGGAGAAATTAGCAGAGGACGCTTGCTAAATCTTTCCATCAGGGGGACGCGTGGAAATTCGTCGTTTGAAACGGGTATAATAATAATAATAAATTTAGCCACTGAAAATATATCAGTTATTGGCAGCCATTGACTAGAAAATCTAGTTGGCATATTACATCTCATGATAATCTTAGATTATATTATATTTAACAATCCTGTATTATATTACATTTTTTTTAGATATACTTACCATTACTTTCTTTTTCTCTTCCCTCTTTCTTTTTATTTGTCATCAATTACTTTGTATGTAGGACTGCATAAGGTTTTAAGTTGTTTTATAACAATTTATTCAGAAATGAATAGAGGCAATCATCATCACAAACGAAGGAATGAAAAATTTGACATTTTTCAAGTCGTGAGTTGATAATTTTCAAGTTTCGCAGGCGTGCTTGGTAGGCTTTGTGGTAAATTATGGAAACAGCACTATTTCTTGTTTGGTTGGTGATCAAAACCACATGGTAAATCGCGATTTGAAAATTAATCCTACTAGGTTATGATATGAGCCTATAATTGCATATTATTATACAGTAAGTGTAAACTAAAATAATGATATTGAAAATATATTGAACCTGAATCGAAGACGTTGATATACTTGTACGGTCAGGCTTTAACAGGCCTACGTGTTCTTTTAACAGTTTACTTTTTTCTTATGCCATGCTTAATTCAATACTTGTATTATAATTTTCATTTGTTACGATTATTACTGTCTTTTGCACTTAATCAATTTCTAATCATTTGTATGTTCTGCTCAACCAGGGAGGAAAGCACAATGCTTTGCATTAACCAGGTTACCCAGTTAAGCTATAAAAAAATAAAAAAATTAAATTAAAAAAATCGTTTTCTTCTCTGAGAGATAGAAATGTTGATAGTACCCCCTCTATGTTACTATAAAATCGCCACTTGTTTGGGAAGACAACATGGCAGCCACCGGTGGACCGAGTTTACCGCAGTTGTACAGTGAACTAAATAAATGTAACCAGAATGGTGATTTTGCACGGGCACTGAAGACTACTAATAAAAGTATGCACGATTTAATGTTATAAGTTATATATAGTTCAAATGGTTCTGTCGACATAATATTTAGTTTCTGAAAGGCATATGGTTACTAGCACTGAACCAGCCCACCACGGCATGGACCACTGGATTGTGTAAGATATTACTGGTGGTAAGCTGTGCATTGTGCTTGCTGTGTACACGCCTATGCCTAGCCTACGTGTACGGTGTATGTAGGCCTAAGCCTTGCCAAGGTCCTACGTTTATCCAGTGACGAAACAAGCTAGGCTCTAGGCCTAGTGAAGTAGGACCCCTGGGGTCTAACATCTAACATAATTATACACTACCTTTATTTAATTTTACCCCTTTTTGGGTGAGTGGGAAGATATTGACATTGTTGGTGATGATATGACTCGGCTGAAAGGTGGACAGTTGTTGGTACAGTCCAGGGAAATGTAAAGAAATCATCTCGCTGTTTGGTTGGTCCCGGCTGTGTGTCGCCAGTCAGTCAGTCAGTGTGCGTTTCAAGATAACCTTTTGTTTTTGGAAGAGGCCCAGGCGAAGGATACCCAAAAAATCAGCTCAAATTTGCGCGGAAAATTGCTACAGTAGGAAAATAGGTGCGTGGAATCGTAATTGCTGCATAAAGGATTCCTGGGCCAAATTTTTGTGCGTAGGATATATTCCCCATGCAGGCCTTATTATACAGTCTTGGAAGAGGCATTTTAAACAGTGTCATGACCTCTTGAGTTTTAAGTATGAGCAAGGAGGTGGTTTGAGAAGCTGTAATGTCCCAATTGAACTTAAAATTATAATGTATATATGTATAGTTACTACCTAGTTACTACTGATTTTGTTTTTTACTAATTATTTTGTTTCTTTTTCCTGACTTAGTCTTAAAACAGTTCCCAAATGAAGCCACAGCTTTTCATTGTAAGATCGTCTGTCTTGTACAGCAGTCGCAGTTTGAGCAAGCGCTTAAAGAGATCAAAGGAAACGCTAACCTTTCCAGGTAAACTGCCCTGCCATTATTAAGTAAATATTGGCACACATCTTACACTACTCATTGTTATGATAATATAACCTACTTAACACATACATTGATGATACAAGATAACAGAATAGAAGACAATAATAATTGAATTGAATATTATTGAATCATAAAAAGTGCCTGTAAATTAGGCTTAAAAATCAATTTTTATTTTGTGATGAATTCTAAATATACAGATACAGATTAATGTATTATTCAAAATATGGAAATTACATTGCTCACTTGTTCTGCTATAAATTGATATATAATTAGGTTCTTATGTTAGACTCCCATATCTCAGCTTAGTAGAACGAGTACTTGTTACGTCCCTTTGTGCATTCACCACATTCATTCTACCACTTATGCGGGAGCCAATCAATAGTGGAGCTACAGATGGTTGTTGACCTCCAGAATTATTATAAGCCTCTGGATCTTGTTATTAAACAAAGAATAGAGAAATCTGCAGAAAAACTGGATGTTACTTCTGACATGGATCTGTAGATAGTCACCAATAAATCTATGAAGCAAAATATTTTTAAGTGATAATAAACAAGTAGAAAGACTTCTATATTTTAACACTTGATCATTATATGTTTTCTTGTAAAAGTGGAATAGATTTTGAAAAGGCCTACTGCTTGTATCGACTCAACAAGATCGATGAGGCTTTGAAGGTTATTGAGAATGTCAAGCAGCCTGGACCAAAGCTGCAAGAGCTGTTGGGACAAGTGGTAATAAGATTGTATTTCAATAAGATGATTCCATGAAGAGGAATGGAAATCATCCTAAGGGAAGGGAAAGTATCCAAAGGAGAAGGGGAACATAGTAATGGAATGGCAACATCCTTATTTGTAGTTGGAACATCTCAAAAACAGTTTTAGTGTACAGCCCTGACAATAATTGAACATTGGATTTTTCTAATGAGAATGAAAATCTCAACAGTGTTAAATGTTATTAGATATCAGGAAATGTAGATAGCATACATTTGAGTTGCTTCTTCTGGGGGTGGGGGTGTGGGGGAGCTAAACATAAACATAATAAGCTTGTTGATGCTATTCCGTAACCTAAGTTTTCTGTCTTTCCTTTGACTTGGAATTATTTTTCATTTCATATTAGCTGTACCGACTGGAGCGTTATAATGAATGCTTGGATGTTTACAGGAATCTCATTAAAAACACATCGGTAAGTAGAAAGAAATCTGACATGAATCACAAAATTACCATATGCAACTGATTAAACATTCGTAAATAATAAGAAATAATAATAATAATGTTAGTCTTGTGTAACACATCACACTAAGGCAGCTGAATTTGTTCTATGTTTTTAAACCACTATGTAGACGACTTGCAAAAAATAATCATAATCTAAATTTCAATTTTTTTTTTACCTCCCTCTCTTCTTTTACCCTCATTACAGGATGACTATGATGATGAACGCGAAACCAATATGTCGGCTGTAATAGCAGCTCTACAGCTTTGGAACAAGGAAGAAGTGGTATAAAATGTTTTGTTATCTTTTCTGTTATTTTATTTAATTTTCATTTTTGGATTATATCTACTTTGGTTTTGTTATTTATATAGCTAGCACATTATAATATTTACATTATAATTTTAAAAGCTGTATTTAATTGTTAAGAGCTTTTTATATTTGTAATACAATGTATGATAATTGCATCTATTTATGTATTCTTTTTATTTATGTAGAGTGACCCAGGTTTGAGGGAAGACACCTTTGAACTCTGCTACAACAAAGCATGCCAGCTGATTGGACAATGCAGGTATGAGGAGGCTTTAGAGAAGTTGGACATTGCAGAGGTGCTATGTAAAGAGATGCTGGAGGATACTGAGGTACTGAAAAATGATGTCATTTAGAAATGAAACTGTGCACATGATTTTTTGAGATGTGTGAATATTGACATAGGCTTTAGTGTTAATTCTGAAGTTCAAAAAATTTAAAATATTCTTGCTAATGCAACATGACTGCCTGCTGTTTGCAGGTACTTGCTCGACACAAAATTTCAACATGCTTTTTACTTGTATGTCAAGCTAAGACGTATTGTGAAAACAGCTGCCAATGTTTGCTTATTAATTTTTAGTCCCATAACCCATGCATAAAAGACATACTCACAAAAACTGAATAATAACAACAATATATGTTGGTTTATGGTGACTGACAGTAATCTCGGATTATCTTGTCTGTATATAGGATATGACTGAAGACGAAATGGAAGGAGAACTTGGTGTAATTCGTGTTCAGCGTGGCTACATCCTTCAGCTGAAGGGCAAGAATGAAGAAGCAATGAAACTATACAACCAAGTAGTCAAGTCAAGGTAAGGTCAAGTCAGGTCATGTACTGCCCTGCTGAGTTCATTGGTAACTTGTTTGCTCTATTAGCATCTGATTCCATTGTTTCTTCATTTTTACCATAGTTTCTTGACTATTAGCCCACCTACTACATTACACCAAATTTTACATACAGGCCTTTCCTCTGGCAAAAGCCCACGGTAAATTTAATTGAAAAGATCAGATGACTTTTATAAAAAAAAAATAATCAAAGATTGGCTTTGAGATGGAATGCAGTGCTGACAATTACTTTTGGCTGACCATCCCTGAAAATGATTAAAAAAAAAAAGGATTGTCAATTTTCTTGTGAAAAAGGGATTCTCCGGGTATAAGACCACACCCCAAAATCGGTCCAATTTTGTAGAACTACGGAAATACAAATATAATGAGTAACACTTTGACACAGTCAGTCCACATACTTTAAGCTTTGTATTATAATATTTAACATAATATTTCCATTATTTTGCACAAAAATATGTTTTTTACACTTTTCTTTTAGACCTGCTGATATCGGTCTGTTTGCTGTAGCATCAAATAATATTATTAGTTTGAACAAAGTAAGTCAGAAATATTTTCTTTTAATTATCTAATTGTAAATATATTATACAGCATATGCATTTTCATTTAATGATTCTAAAAAACAATGATTTTTATTTTTCATTTGTGTTTTATGATATTTAATTTTTCTCTAGGATCAAAATGTGTTTGATTCCAAGAAGAAAATCAAGTCAACCACAACTCAAGGATTGGATAAGAAAATAACAGCAGTGCAGAAGTCGTGCATAAAATTCAATACTGCTCTTTTACAGCTTTATACCAATCAGGTGAGTAGAATAAAAGTCTGAATGCGATAAATATATTAGGCATAATAATAATGATTATAAGTCAATCGTGATGTCATCACTGCAACTCCCAATGTTATTTGCCTATCCCCCCACAGTCCACTAATTTTTCAATTAGTGGACGCTTGGCTTGATTTATTTTTTAGGTTTTGTGTGCAAAAAAAATTCCTAAATTTTTTCGTCACCGCGAAGATATCGCGGACCGCGATGAAAATTGAATTGTAAATTGAAAATTACTTTCGTACAACAAGGTTAGAACCCGAAGAAAGTTACTTTAAATTCAGCATTAAGGATGAACAATTAAGCAATTCCTTGAATCAATGAACCCTACTAAACTAAACAAACTGAACGTTTAATAGGAATACTCTAGACCTATTTTAAAGACTCAAGGAACAAAATTAGATGTAGGCCTACGGTCAGGCAGGAGGCCACCGAGGCTTCCTCCTAGGCTATGTACTACTAGCCTAGACCATAGCCTAGCGTAGTTATGAAACCATCATACGATTTTTACTTGTCTGCAGCAACCAAAAAGACAGTGACTGTATTCTCTCTCAAATGCTTTAAAAAACGTGTATTTCTTTGACAAATGTGAAACCTTACAAACAAGTTCTTCAAATTACAAAATAATTCATCGTATCCGACTGGCTTGAAATTTTTTCAAGCATTAAACCTAACCTTTGTATAATAATTTTCCTATAGTGTACTATGCGGAGCTCTACTAATAGTTTATTATTTACTTTTATTCAATATTTTATTATCAATAAATGTAATTGTTATTAAGTTTTATCAATTATCTTAATTCTCTTACTTTTTAGTATGAAAACTGTAGAAAACTGCTTCAAACTCTGAAGAAGGAACACCCCGATAATGAAACTGTGTTTTTAATTGAAGCAGCGCTTGCAATACGTGAAAAGCGCCCTCAAAGGGCCATTGAGATATTAGACAACTACAGTGACAGCCATCCAGATTGCTCTAGTCGAGTGAAATTGACGTCAGCGCAGCTACTGTTGATGCAAGGTTGAAATAAAGAACACTTACTCTACTAATATATTTAATAATACACAAATAGATGAATCTTCATTATTAAGATGTTGTTTGATTAATATTTTATTTCTTCCTGAAAGTATACTGTACAATCTCGAATAGAAGCCGCATGGGCTTAATCTCAAAAAGAACCCCCCCCCCCAACACTTTTTCCAGTTTGCAAAAGTAATCTTGAAAAGAATCTCATCTCAAAAAGAAGCCCATGGGCTTCTAATCGAGATAATGGTTTTCGAGATAGCACTTACATTCTGACAGACATTATCTTATTTTATGATAGTGTAGCAGCATCAATATGTTTTATTGTGCTTGCATGGTTAAAATTAAAGAAAAATATATTAAACAGAATTTTGAATTCCATAGTTGAAAAATGCTGTGTAGTACCAATTCCAAAATTTACAGCATCCATTTTAAAAAGATGCCCCTTTCTTTACTTTGCAAGAGTAATCTCAAAAAGAAACCCATCCAAGTGTCCTAAAAAAAAAAGGAAGTAGCCCAGGGCTTCTGTTCGAGGTTTTATGGTATTTAGAGCTCAAATGGTTTCTGCACACTTCTATTTAGATGAAGTACATTATGATAAAATAGGAAAACTCATTTTGATATTAAGTATTAAAGGAAGTACAGTAGTTGTAGCACAAGTTAAATGCCGAGTACTGCCATAAATATCCTTAAAATTTATTTATATTTGCTCACCTCAGGCCATATGAACCAGGCATGTGAGACGTTGAAGGGACTCGGTAACGACCGTCATCGTCCAGGAATCGTCTCCCTTCTTGTGTCGCTGTACACCAACATTGAGGAGAGGGACACTGCCATTGAAATATTGGATGAAGCTGTGGAATGGTATCAGTCACAGCGGGTAATTTAATGTCTTCTCTTATTTATATGTTTCTCTGATCATCTCGATCAATCAGCAAGTATTCGTAAAGCGCCAATATCCACAGCAGAATATAATGTTCACTGGCGCTATGACATCTAGTTTATATATTGCATTGTATGGATGTTATAATGGAAGTGGTTTGGCTCAGTGGGAATAGTTTGGTTTGTCCAAACTAGAGGTCGGGGCTTCAATCCTTCGCTGTGCATTTCACATGTGTCCTTGAGCAAGGCACTTTATCTACATTGTTTCAGTCTACCCAGCTGTACCTGTGAGTACCAGTAAATTGCTGGGAGTAACCTGCAGTGGACCATCGTCCCACTCAGAGGAAGTATTACACTCTCATCTGCTTCACACTACATGTGTATGTGTGTGCACCGGTAGCTACATTGTTGGGTGCTGTCCCTTCAAACCCAAAATCCTTTTCAATTTTTTTTTTTTTGACTGAAAAAATACTCCCTTGGCCTCATAATGAGAATCAGTGCCGAAGAAACGTGTTCCCTACTCGCATTTATTTTCTTATTAAAGTATATGTTGTGACTGTAACCTTGTCTTTCATTATTTTCCAAGATTTTAAATGTCTTAATCTAGCGTGCACACCATTTTTAGTACTCAGAAACCTAAATATTTTCTGTTGATTTTTCTGTAAAAATTGTTTTATTATGATGCATAGGGATCCCAAAATGAGCTGAACACCTTACTTCGTGCTAACACAGCGTTCAAGATTAAAAATGGCTGCTCAGAATCTGCAATCAGAATGCTTGAAGATTTGAGAAAGTAAGTCAAGTTATGGTATGATATAAGAACAAATATTTTTAAAGTGGAATAAGTTTATTTATAAAAATAAATTTATGTGATTGGCTTGTAATGATCATTATATGATTTTTTTTTAAGGACTAACCCTGGTGACATGCAAACGCTAGCTGAACTTATTACGGCATATTCTAAAGTGGATCCAAAGATGGCACAAAAGTATCCTTTTGAAATGGGTTAAACATTGTCGCTGTCAATACATGATTCCAATAACAGGGGGGGTGGGGGCGGTGCCATAGGAGGGGGAATGGCTACAGAGGGAAACAACAGAGCATGACCATTGAAGGGGGACCAGGGGAATGGCTATTGGAGGGGGCATGGTCACAAAAAGGGGAACAGAGGACATGGCCACATGAGCCGCAACAAGGGGAATGGCCACAGGAGGGAGAACAGGAATTATGGCCACAGGAGGGACAACAGGGGGAATGGCCGCATGAGGGACAACAGGGGGAATGGCCACAGGAGGGGGAACAGGGAGAATGACCACAGGAGGGGGAACAGGGGGCATGGCCACAGGAGGAAGGGGTACAGGAAGCTTTGCCACAGTAAAGCATGGGTTTACATAATGATTTAGGAAGTAATTTGCAATTTTGGCTGGTTATTATAGGTTGCCTGTACCCACCTCAGGAATCTGCCATTAGCTGCACATCTCTTGTGACACTTCGAGCAGTATAGCTCAGTTAGCCACACTGCTGGCAACCACAATGTGTGTCTGCAGAACCCTTGATACACCTGGCTCACTCTAGTGCTGCTCTGCTTATGTTTAAAGCCCTGTCCAAAGATATGTGACATGCTAAATATGGTCATGATGACATCACATCATGACCATATATAGGCACTTTATGACTATATATGGGCATACAACAGTTTTTTTGACAAAGAAAATTTGATAACATGTACAGAGCTACAGGGCTAAAGTGCAGTTTCCAATGTTGGTATTATTTTGCTTAATTTATGTTTATCAAGACTAAGCTGTGATCTTCCGCCTGTTGAGGCTCTCTCTGTGGATGTTGACGCCCTAGAGAGTATGCCCTATTTGAGGAAAGGACTGCGCCAAGATGTCCAAGAAAAGAAAGAGACGAAGGAAGAAGAAATTGCTGCAAAAAAGAAGAAAAGAAAAAGAAAGAGTGAGACATACGTAGCACATTTTCTAATGTGATAAAATTTTGCTTATATTAGTAATATTAATAGTAATAAAGAATGGCATGCTTGTAATGAAACAAAATTGCAGTATTACCACAAGATGAGGGGAGGGGGGGCAACAGGCATTATCTACATGCAGCATGCGTTTAAACAAACTTCAATGTGTATTATAATCTCTTTTGAAGGACGCCCTCTAGCTTGTGGTAGTACTATTCTAGATGGGACAGTCGGAGTCTCCTATAGAAGTGTTTGTCATATGATCTTTGCTATTTTCTTAAGAATTTAAATGAATTTTTTTTTTTTCTGAAGGAAAACTTCCAAAGAATTATGACCCACAAGTGAATCCAGATCCTGAAAGGTGGCTCCCAAAACATGAACGTAGTCAATATAAGTTTAAATCCAAGAATCGCCAAAAGCAGAATGTGGGTAAAGGTACTCAGGGTGCTGCTGCCGTTGATGTGTAAGTTGGTTTTCAAATTCCATGTAATTTTTTTATTTATTTATTTTATTTATTATTTATTTTATTATTTATTTTATTTTATTCCTTTCGGCCAGTACAACAACAACAAAATCAATAAAGAAAGAGGAATCATCACATTTGGAGCTGTAGCTTGGGGGTTAAAACTTTGTCCAGCTTATTTATTTTTTATTTATTTATTATTTATTTATTTATTTTTTTTATTATTTATTTATTATTTATATATTTATTTATTATGTATTTATTATTTATTTATTATTTATTTATTTATTAAACATATTTATACAGGATAACATATCAGGAGGGTGTAACTGCCTGTTTTATATATTGGTCCTGCTTTGTTATACAAGCTTAGAGTATATAAAATATCAAGAAGTAGCATTAATAAAATTAATAATGACTGAATTACAAATATGATAAAAAGCTTAATCTAAAAACAAATACAGAAAACATTGTATTTTGTTATAATACATAGACAAGTCACTAGGTAAGTTAATAAAATTAATGATAACAACCTTAATAGTAAAATACAGACTTTTACTAAATAGTAAAATACTTTTACTAATAGTAAAATACAGACTAAAAAGAAATTTATATTTTTAAAGAAATAAAACAACACAGCAGCTTTTTTTAGTTGTATAAAAAAGTGTCTCTGGTGGGATTCGAAACCTGCAACCCCTCGCTATGAAGGCGAGTATCATACTGTTGGACCACAGAGACCTATATTGTATAGTCACAGTTCTAACCCCAGGCACATTCTCTCATACAACTGACTTTCATGCTCACTTATAGTGGAGCTATAAATAGGCTAGAAAAGCATATAGGTTGCAACTTGGAAATCGTAGTAAATAATATTCAAATTAGGTATGCTTCATAAGCACAATATAAACAAATAGATAAACAATAATAAAAGTACTCAATTTCCAAGTGATAATCATGAAACACATATCAATCTCACAAAACATTTATAAAATAAATACTCAAGTAAAAATAAAATATAATGCAGTATACAAGATTGAATTAGATCATTTTGATTCATTTTTAGGATCTTAAGTAATTCATTATTCTGTATTTTCAAATCAAATTCATTTCTAATCTCCTATAATCTCTCAGCATAATGTGTATAGGCCATTGTTAGTGAATGGATACTTATTTATATATATTATGATTTCCTTTATTTTTATTGAAGTTTTTGATTATTATTACTATTGTTCTTATTTTCATTATTAATATCTTTGTTTATATTTATTTATTCATTCATATTAATGTATTTATTCATTTGTCTTTTCTACATGTTATAAATATATATTTAATTTATTTAAAAAGGGACCCACTGTTGAAAGCTTTGCTTGTCGTGGTTTTTTCTTTTCCACCAATTGTAACTGATTGATTGATTGATTGATTGATTGATTGAAAGTAAGTAAAAAAATTGATACTCTTACAGAGAGACTAGCAAACCACCAAGTGTACCAAATTCACCTAGGCCAGGCACAGCTGCTACCAACACTGCACAAGCCTCACCAAGCACATCTGGACCTAGACAACAAAAACCAGTACAGGCTTCTAAAAAGAAGAAGAAGAAGGCTAAAGGAAAAGGAGGATGGTGAATTGTGATTGAGAAACAAATAACGAAGAACGAGGGAAAAAATTGCTACTCAATAAATTATAGAAGTCTCATTTTAATCTGTGATACATAATTCACTTACATTCACCTTATGGTGGATTTTTATAAATTAACATCTTTGCTAAATTTTTGGTCATCAAATCCGATAATAAACTACAAAAGGATTTCAGCTCGTATGAAATACTTAATAATAATGTAATACTGGAAAGCAAAATATTAAATGGTAGTATGGAAAATAATGTATTTATTTTGTCATTAATTACATATATGGTGATTTGTGTTAAAAGTTTTGTTATAATTTTGGTCGACTTTGAAGAGCATAATGTTCTGCTAAATATTATGCTGCTAATGATTACATTTAAAATAATTTGTTTTCGTCATGATATAATATATAAAATTCAAATAATTTTATTGATTGTGGCACATATAAATATTATCTGAAATGATATTGTTGGTTGCTGCTACCGATTTAATTTCACTGTAAATGTAAAACCTACAATAGATAATTAGACCTACCATCAAGGTTAGAAAAAATGTAATCCAACTGGGGTAGAACATTAATAGAATGATTCTGGTTCTGAGAGATGTTAAAAACTTGTGGCACCATTTTGTTAGATTAAAATAACATTTTTCCTGCTGAAAAGTAATTGGATGAAAGATTCGTTTAAACGGAAATCCAGTCTGGTTTAATTATTCACATCAAAAATAATTCATATACAGTACCGGTACATAACATCAGGCCTACCCGTTGCAGCAGGACCGCCAAGAGGGGAAACTGTAACAGAAGCAAGGGTTAGTGTGGGCCCCAGTTACGAGCGCTAAGCGCGATAAAGATTGCATTGAGAGAATGATTCATTGTTCATTTGAATTAACATGGGCCAGTCACCCATTACAGTTTACGGCAATTTATATTGTTTTTCAAAGAAGGGCTTAGGCATTGAACTCTGCCTCAGTTCCGGAATCGGCATTGACCAGACTTTCCGGAAATAAGTAAAACAAGTAAAGAAACTAACATCACCCAGCCTATTAGAGCAAACACCACTTGTACGTTAGTATTTTACGTCATGTAACACATTTATCTGGCAATGCAAGGCATATGTTCGATCTCACGACTACGGATTATCTTTTAATTGCTTGAAAACGTATGGCCGATCTGAAATTAACGAATTATCAATTTAACAATGGAAAGATAAAGAGAAAGTAAGAAAGATAAATCATTCTTTTATATTACTGGTTGTTGTTATGAAAGATATTCCTATCATTAAAATTAATATCAAGCCAAGACCAGGTGACAATCTATCCATTTGCACAAAAATAGAATAAAACGACAACTACAAGTATTGATTAACAACTGGTAAAGTGTTTGCATTGCACTTAGATACGCGATTACTGCCGAAACTTTAATAAATTACAAAAATTAAATTTAAAAAACAATATTAATAACTTAAACAGTCGCTCGAGAAATGAGCGGCTGGCAGGGGGTTATCTGGTGGGGAAAGCCGACTCCTAGGGTAGAAATAGGGTCAATTGATGGAAAACGAAAAGTTCCTTTTATTCGGTTGTATTTTTCTTGTAATCTCTGTTTACGGTGCTACACAGCAAACCTAATTTGAATTTTTTTTTTAAATCTAAATCGTCTTGCGGTAATGTTTTATACATAGGCCAATATATAAAATTATATACCTATATATAAGTATATATATATATATATATATATATATATATATATAGAACTGGAGGTCGCTGGAACAGAATGTTGCTACTCGGAGTTTCACGCTATTGCGATCGTCAGGCAACTGATCTATATATATAGTGTGTGTGTGTGTATATGTGTAAAGCATTAACGCAAGACGATTTAGTGTTTATCTCTTCTTGTCGTTTAAGATGCTTAGGCGATACTTTTTCAAACCTTTTTTTCGCGAACTTACTTCTTTAAAGATCACCAGAGGAGGGCCGCAAAAATAAAATTAAAATTTTGTTTCCTTATTTAGCAAATGGTTTCACCGAAAACATCCAGACAGAGGAGAAACTAAAAATAAAATTTTATTGTTGAATGTAAACAGTGAGTAATGGGATGGTTAAATACTTTAAATTTATGATAATTAGGAAAAAAATATGCATATCTTATATGTAGAGATTTCAAGGCAATGGCTGACGTAATAAAGGTAAAGAAAAAAATATGAAATTTTCATTTTTTCGTGGCGGTGAGTGCAGTAATTGGCCAAAATAAAATTTTATTTTTATTCGAAATCATCATTATTTGCGGGCGGCGGGTTCGTTAAACAAGGTATAAATTAAAAGTCTCGCCTTTAGGAGAGGACATATCAGATTGATTTCTGTTCCACGTGCGTGCATCAAATACTAGTGTTATTGGCATACCATAATACGAAATGAATTGCCTCCAATCGGATTCGAACTCTCAAAGGAAGCTTCTTAAGTCGTCTGCACAGACAGCAGAAGGTCCCAGGTTCGAATCCTGGTTCCTATCAATAATTAATATCAAACCTAGACCAGGTGACAAGATATTAACCATCTGCGCAAAAAATAGAATAACACGACAACAACTACAAATATTGATTAACAACTGGTGTTGGCATTGCAAGTAGGCCCTAGATACGCGATTACTGCCGAAACTTTAATCAATTACAAAGATTAAATGATAAAAAAATAATAATATTAAAAATTATAGACAGCCGCTTGAGAGGTGAGCAGCTGACAGGGGATTGTATATCTGGTGGGGAAAGAGCCGACCCCATAAGGACTCCAAAATTAGAAATAGGGTCGATTGATAGGAAACCTGTCTCTTATACACATCTATAATAAACTACAAAAGGATTTCAGCTCGTATGAAATACTTAATAATAATGTAATACTGGAAAGCAAAATATTAAATGGTAGTATGGAAAATAATGTATTTATTTTGTCATTAATTACATATATGGTGATTTGTGTTAAAAGTTTTGTTATAATTTTGGTCGACTTTGAAGAGCATAATGTAATGC